GAAGGCGTGCACTATGTTTGAGGGCGTATGTAATCATTTCTTTCATATCGTGGTGCGTTTGCTATTATCCGTAATATTTTGTTTCCGAATGTTGTAGTATTTTTAGGTTTCTTTTGCTCGTACATCCCCATAATTGGATACCATAGGACCAGATAGGTTTTATGGCTGTTTTATACAGAAGTAGTTTGTTGTGTAAGGATAATTAGGATTTCCTGTTTAGTAACTAATACACTTTTTTGAATTTTGCATCTAACTCATGTCTCTTCTTTTTGATATGTGTGCCCCATTTCACTTTGGAATTTAAGTATAATACATTCCTACACTCCGTTCAAAATAAGAGTAACCTCGCATCGCGCATGGGACGTGCCTAAGGCAGGGCTAGAACGTCCAAACACCCACTTAACCACATACGTTTTTCTCCGTCTTACCATCTGCTACCCCTCTCCGTCTACTGTTCCAGGTATGACGCTTTTATATGCACGGTGATATAATTAATTCTCTATTTACTTTTGTATTGATCTCTTTTTGGTCTTATTGCTGCTATCGTTAAAAGAACGTTTCTTACGATCACATAAAGAATTTGAAAATCTATTCTGATTTTCTTCCATACCGTTCTGTAATTCTTCAAATTTTATCTGTTTTTCTAATCATGCGACACTCTATGCGTTAAAAATCGTTCTTTTGACGGCCCGCCTTTCACGACGGCGCTGTATGACCGTCAGCCCCTCACGCGTTGGAAACTAATGAATAAGACGAAATCTTCGACATTTGCAAGTTTATTTTTACCAGCGGCGGCCGTAAACCATGCTCCGCTGCAAATCTTAGTCACGTTTTAATAAAACGGAAGGAAAATAAAAGTGTTATTCATTGAAATTTACGCAGTGACAAGTTTCTTGATAGAAAGTTACATGTCAGGTACTATATCCAATTGAGAAAATTTGCGCCTTTTTAAGATATTTAAATTTATAGTGCCAAGTAGGGGCATCTACAGTCTGTCCTACCAGAGCGTATTGACGATATCTCTGCAAAGGTTAATATATTTTATGCGAAAGACTAAACGAAATTAGTAAAATGACCTCTCATCACTTCATCTTAGCAGTAACACCGTTATCGTGTTTATGACGTTAAGTTTTTAAGCCATCAGCTATTATCCGCTGTAAAGACTTGAAGGGCAGTGCAGGCACTGAAGTCGTAATAATTGATAATTATTGCGATTAGAAAGTTGTTACAATTATCATTATTACGAATGGACTTATTCCACTTTCAAAAAAAAACATTCCTGCGATAACATTTTACAGTTCAACTTTTTTTTATTAATTTATGATGATATTGTACACCATTGACTGTGTGACTATAAACGTAAAAAGAGGATATCTATATCTGACTAAAACTACCATTAACTCATTTTTTCCAAAAAATGGACCACTTTCAAAAACAACGGCTCATATATTCTCTTCAACTCACAATCACTGGTTGTGGACGTTCTGGTACCGCCGGCGACTGATCGACAATGCGTAACGGCTCGAATACGGAT